CTCTCTCTCTCTCTCTCTCTCTCTCTCTCTCTCTCTCTCTCTCTCTCTCTCTCTCTCTCTCTCTCTCTCTCTCTCTCTCTCTCTCTTTGTGTGTCTCGGCCTGTCCTCTCTCCTCCCTCCATCGAGAGAGAGAGAGAGAGAGACCAGAGGCACCATCACCATCCCTCCTCCCTTGGCCCGTCCTCCATTCCTGCCTCGACCCTCTCTCCTCCCTCCCTCACCCTTGCCCCAGCGGCCCTCCCTCCTTTGTCCTTACTCCCTTTCTCCTTCCTTCTTTCCTCCCTCGCCTTCTCCCTCCTGTGGCGTTACCTTCCTCAGCCCTCCGTCCTCCCTCGCTTCTTGCTCTCTTATCTGGGGACGATATAGAGAGTGCATTCCTTTTTTCTTAGCTTTCTGAATTTGCATCAAGGCTTAGCGCCACTTTTTTCTTTCAATGTGAATAAGGGCGAGCGTGTGCTCTCGCGCGTGCGGTCGCACACAGACGCACCTGTCTCTTATACACATCTAGATGTGTATAAGAGACAGCTCCTCCGCCTCCCGCCCTCCGCCGCCCTCCCGCCCTCCCGCCCTCCGCTGCCCTCCGGCGCCCTCCCGCCCTCCGCCACCTCCCACACCTCTGCACCCCCCCCGCCTTCCGCCGCCCTCCCGCCCTCTCTACCACTCCGCCATCCTCCGCCGCCCTCCCGCCCTCCCGCCCTCCACCGCTCCCCTGCCCTCCACTGCCCTCCCCCCCTCCCGCCCTTTGTGTGTGTGTGTGTGTGAGAGAGAGAGAGAGAGACCCCGCCACCCTTCGCCGCCTAGCCTCCGCCGCCCTCCCGCCCTTCGCCGCTCGGGTGCCCTCCCACCCTCCCACCCTCTATGTGTGTGTGTGTGTGTGTGAGAGAGAGAGAGGCGGTGGGGGGGGGGGCGAAGGGAGAGGGAAGGGGTAAATCGGAGAAGCAGGCTATAGTGGTTTCGTTTTTCTCTTTTGATCGGGAAAATGATTAGAGGCAGGGCAACATCGGGAAGGAGTGGAGAGGGAAACAAGCGGCCATGATGGCGGGACATGATGATGGGATTGGGTTCTTGATGTCCAGGACGGAAAAGGTCTCGGGATCCAAATGCAATGGGAGGGAGAGGAGGAGGCGAGGGGGTAAGGACGAGGGAAAAGGAAGATCGGTGTGACAATCATTGGGGATTTAAGATCGAGGCGACACAGGACAAGTGCAGCCATTGAGGGGAGATGGGATCAGGTGAAAGGAGGACGGGTGCCACGTTTGAGGGAGGGGAGTGGGTAAAGAGACTCGAGCTGCACCATGTGGGGAGGGTTAGGGGGACTTTGGGGGGGAGGGGTTAAACGACATGATCGTCTTTTTCGTTGCCCTTTTTTCTTCTTCTTTTTTTTTGTGTGAGAGAGAGGGGGGTTGGGAGGGGGAGGCGAGAGGGTTAGGAGGAAAGCGGCAGGGGGGAAGGCGAAGACTCGAGATCGCGTGGCCGCTTTATCGTTTCCTTATCGTGTTTTGGTCTTGTGTGTGTGTGTGTGTGTGTGTGTGTGTGTGTGTGTGTGTGTG